CCAGCGACTCGGGCAAATCTATGACGGTTTATAAAGGTTTTAAAAGCAAGGTTCACCACTTAGATGCAAATCGAACAGTCCATCGATCACCGACAGGTGGAAACCAACTGGAAATCATTTGATAAACGACAGACCGACTGCAGGTCATGCCGAGTTGATGAATCAAAACGACTGCGCATTTGATACGAAAACAATCAGAATAGACGCAGTAAGAGCGACGATGCGAAGTCACCGATGGATTAAGACTCAAAGGACGAGGAATTAAACACGGGAAATTCAACCGGTTCAATTTTACGCTGACGGAGCGACCCAAAACACACCCCAAGCAGCTGACTCACGACTGAATACAGTGATTCACTTCAGCAGTAGGGGACTGACAGATCATAAATTGATTCAACAAGCAACATCTACGTGTCCCACACACCACTTACTGGAATACCTTGGATGAACCATAGAACTATTTAGTTTTTTCTTAGGAATTTCCAGTAGCGCATATACGTCGAGCTTCTGTTGGTTCAAAACTGGACTGTAGGATTGCGTAATACGGCAAAAAATGACGTCGGGGGAGGTTATGTTTAGACTGTAGTTCGAGGACACGTGATAACGATGGGTTCAACAATTGAGCACCATCAATTTGAGGAGAAAAACAGTACAAACCCACATATGGTCCGAGTCACAGGGCCAGCCCCCCACCGAACAGACAAGACACGTGAGAAAAGAAACTGCGAAGTAACTTTATGAGATAGAATAATATAATTTATGTATTAATAGAGCTGTATATGTGTTGTTAGGTTAGGTGTATTTTGTTTGTAGACATGAGTAGATGATGAATCGAGAGGGGACAAAAACAGGAGAATTACCATCATCACCATCATCATCATCATCATAGTCATCATTAGTGTGAATGAGGAGAAATGCAGAAAGACCGACTTTTGCAACAAGTCAGCTAGAAGCCCTTTAACGAACCAGACCAAATGTAACCACAAAGAAGAAAGAACGCTTGTCGAAAAATCCGAGTCGGAATATGAACACGAACACGACCACAGGACTAGCATAAGGAAACCAAACCTGGTGCGGTGCCAGGGACAAAGACCACGGACGTCATCAATATCGCCACCAAATAGCAGATTGAACGGGGACCGAAGAAAAAGAAAACTGTTCCCAATTGGGGAGGGAAGAAAGGAACAAACAAATGTGAAAAGGCGGGAACCGACCTGGTTCAAATGCACTAGTTAGCAATCAGTGTATGTGCGAAGAGGGAGTGGACAGTTGATAGAGAGAACCATCGATGAGTAAGAACTCGGGGAAGTGAAAAGTTAGCAAGGGAACAAAGGAGTGGAAAACGAAGTGAAAGCGTGAAAAGAAAATAATAGAAAGATGACCGAGAAACGCACACGAACAGAACAACAAATCTGTGCGATCAGACGAACGAACGAGTGAGCGAGCGGGATCGCACAAAAAGAACAGTAGAAAGTAGGAGAGCCATCAAAATGACTAAGTGGGCAACCAACATCAATGAACGAGCAACAAGCAAGCGATAAATGGATAAAGAAACAAAGAATAATGATGTAACCAAAGGAAAGAAAAAATAGAGTAAATAAGAAGCAGACAGGAGTGGGTCAGTCAGAGAGAGAAGAAAGAAAAAGTAAAAGAATGGGACGAAACAGAGAGCAAAGGTGGACTAATGCGTCTCGGCGGAAAGCCGAGTGATGTTCGAGACGGTAAGAGAATTCGTGGTCAGTTCGTTACAACCGACTTCACTGAAGGGATACGCTGAACCCCGTTCTGACGTGTTCGGACCGATAGGCCGAAGTCGATCCGCATAGCTAGACGACACTGGCAGTCCGCTCGCGCTTGTTCCCATGCCCGCACTGGGCGGTCCGGTTGCCGATGGCAGGCTGATGCTGGCTGCAGTTGTACCTGTAGATGTGGTCAAAGAAGACGAGCCTAATTTCGTTGTAAATCGCTCTAATGGGGTCATTCCGAGACCGGGTCCACAACTGCTACTACTCGTGGTGGTAGTACATGGAGGTCCATCCTCTCCGGTGAAGTACGAGAATAGTGGGATCTGAGAGGCTCCGTTAGGATAATCCAGCGAGAGCTGTGTATGACATGATAGAAACCGTAAAAATGAAGAACAAAATGAAGAGCATTCTTTTGGTGAATAATTCTTCATACCGTAAATTTACCTTAGGTTCATTTACCAAAATCTGCCAATAACACTGTGGATTCCCCCAGGAAGTTGAATTATTTTCGTGTAAGAGAAAGCCGCATAAACGCAGGAATAATCATCTTATAGAAGGACCAAAATTTACGTAACGCTCCGTAATTGTGTAGTCCAGGAGGTTGGCTTAGGATGCTTGAACAGAACATAGAGGAATGCTTGTCATATCTATCGATCGAAGGAGAAGAACCAAACAAGCGCATAAGTACACCAACTAGTCGACCGTAGCCGGGTTTATACATAACAAGAAGTTCTTATGCTGTTGTACATGATAGAGCACATATACCGTGGAGGGGCAAGCCTCACATAAGACAGTGATACAGTGGTAATAGACCAAATAGCAGTGCCATTACCTAAAAACCATAGGAACCAGTACTTTAGTAAGGATGCTGGCAATCATTTAGAACCAATATGTTAGAGGCAACCTGGGGCATTGGTCAACATTTCTGCGGTAATAAAATTCAACAGAAGGAATGAGATACTAAACATCGAACGAACTAGACCGCTGATTTAAAACGAACGAAAGTATGAATATTAGTTGTGTCGGAGAGCACATCGTATCGAGATCCGAACAAATGGAAAACTTTTTGGTAATAAAGAATGCTGTACCGGCCGAATAACTGTGCTTCTAAAATGAGGGGTTTACTAGGATCTTGGCGTTCGAAAACGCTTTCACCCGACGAATTTTTTTAAAGTGTTCAGAAATAACCATTTTTGTAGATGGCGGTTAGTGGCCATGAATGTATCAAGGGGTATCAGGTCCACTAACAGGACAATTTTGTATGATTGGCCCGGAAAGAAGATCGGTTGCTGTGGGCGCACGCGGTTACACATGGCGTCCTCCCCACGCACTAGGTTAAGCGATTTTTCTTCGCCTCTATCATCACAATAAAAATACACTTATTATTATGAAACCATTAACGATTTTTTATATTCTAATCAGAAAACACACCTTAGCCGAACATTGTACTATTGCCCTTGAAAAAAATTATTAAATTCGGTTCAATATAAGATTACCAATATATTTTATATGTCTCGGTCCTGACTGTGTGGCGTAGCAGTTTTGAGTCAGTAGCTTCTCAAGTCCCTCTAGAGTCCGTTATTTACCCAACACTAACCGGTGGCCTTGAGCAGCTAACACGTGTGTCAGTGAGCACAAACCAGCAAACTGCTCAACATAAGGCAAAAATAGGATAAGAGAAACAGACCATTAAACACCTCGACGAGACGGCGCTAGGCACGTTACTGCTTACTGGGAGGGGGGGGACAAGATATTCTGTTTGACAAACTTATAAAGGAAATCTGAATTGATGGGATGTATAGGTCCGTAGGTTGCATCAACATCGATCAAATGGTGAAACTCTTAGAGTCACCGGTCACCGTACGCCAACATGCGGCTGTTTTGCAGTGCTCACCTGGAGGTGTGCCTTCCAAAAAGCTAACTGATGCCGGGGAGGTCACCTAAAATTCACAAACCGCATGAAAGCAGCTTATTCTCTTCAAAGAGTAAGCCGAAGTAAAGCTAAAGAACCCGATTTGATCGCAAAGACAGGGTTCTAGAAATGTATAGCATCCACAGAGATGAATTAGATCTAAATGTGTCTAGAGAACTTACACTGGTAGTTCCACGTGAATCCGGTTGTTTTGTGCTTTGTGTTCGATGATCCATGAAAGCCGACGATGAAGTTACCGGCTGATCCTTTTTACCTGCACGAAGTGTGCGGTTGCCACTGGATACGGCCAGACATTCAAGCTGTTCGATTTTCATGGTCAATTCGAGAATCTGGAGATCTCGTTGCTTATGGGTTTCTGTAAGAAAAGGGGAATAGACAACTGAGATAATGGAAAACGAGCACACTTTACCAGACACTCATCATACTAGTCATGTTTCTGCACAAGCTGACAGTCGTACGTTTGTTCCCAGGTGCACGATAATTAGTCACCGAATATGCAACTGTCCTTAATGTCCTTAATGTGTTTTCCTTACCGATTACAATGGTCGGAAATCAAGAAAATTAACAAACGGGACTTATGGCTAGTGCTTTCGTCACATACGCATCGAATCTTTCAGGGATAGGAAATCCTGATAGAACGAAATTAGGTTCGGCCAAAACAAAGCCAGAAACATCATCACCGTATGAAAAGCTTTGAGAATGTTCACGAAACCTGTTGTTGGACAGAAATAACCGCTAAAATGGAAGTAGCCACTATCTGAGGGAACAGTCATTATCAATTTTTCAAATGATCAACAGTATCGGTGGCCAATGGATTCCGGCTGGCGAAACAATGTGAAAGTTGAATCACAATAGCAATAATACTAATAAGATTGGTCGGAAATAAATTGCCAGGTCTCATCAACTGTGATTTTTTTATGACACACCTTGGTGTGTTGAACACCCCATAGTCACGAGGACCAGCTGTTCAGCGATAGAGGCCTATACCCTAAACCCCGGGACTTGGACTGGCGAACCTAAGATCCCGATAGGTTAGGCGTGGTATTGAACCGGACGACAACAAAGCGGCCTACCACCAAAGTTGGGTGGTGGTGGCGGGGCTAGAACCTCGGACCAAAAGGTCCAAAGCACGCCAGCGACTAAGCCACTGCGCCACCACCACTACAACTATATATGAAATCCAACATTGTTAATATCGCATCTTAGGAAAAATTCAGTGAATGGCGAGCGTAAACATTTGACTTGATTTGGTCGGAACTATATTTATGTGGTCACCAATTGTAAAAGATGGGGCTGAACGATCGCATGTTGCGATCATCACAGAGTAAAACACGTCTGGATTGAAAGCTAAGTTATCGGGTTCGTATATCACCCCGTGTGTGTACATGCCCCGAGCATGAAAGAGATCGGGCGAGGTGAGTTCAAATAGAAGACAGATTAAAAGACTCAGTCAGTAAGCATGCAAAAGTGTAAACCATGGATCATGTACAGTTTGATGCTGCAGATTGCATCCGTAGTGTGGTTGATTCACGCAAGGTGTCGAATCGAAATTTAATGAAAGTAATAAACGTAGCAGTAGAAGAGAAAAAGAAAAGGGCATTTCGTTCTTTGCGTACCCTGTATACAATTTGTGTGGTGTTACTAAGGTAGGGGCTGTGCGAATTCCTAGGGAAAGGTTTCAAACATCTATGCCGATCCTAGGTCAAGTCTCTTAGTTTCTAACCATTGACATTCACTAACCCTCAGACCACAGCCAGCCACTAGACTAGATTAGAATTGATTGAAGTAAAAGCTTCCGTTACTTTGCTCATATGTCTACCTTAGGGCATGGACGGACAGCCACGACGCTTCATACAGTCATACACATAAAACGCAAAAAATAAAAGGCATGGAAGGAGATGGGCAGAGATGCGCAGGACTTGTTCTGGCGACAAGAGGCGATGTAGTGTAATTGCTTTGATGTTGTCCGACAGCCAAATAGAACTGAAACTCAACTTCGTTTTCACTGCCTAAAGTGGAGCGCCTAACCTGTTGGAGTCTTGTATCGTTCGATACTTCAAACCTAAAGAGAGACGTCGACGTTGTTGACCTGGTGTCAAATGTTCAAGCCATCTTAAACAAACCATCGAACAACGACGAATGCAACCCCTTGGGCCCAAAAGAAGCGCTTACCTCAGTGGACCGTGAGATAAATTTCTGGTGCGCTTAGTTGTAAAGGAATATCACAGAAAAATAGTCGAATGAGTCCATAGAGAAGTAAGCAGTTTGATCGATGTGGAAATCTTATGCGACCTAAAATAGGATAAGCACCTCGTTTCAATGCATGGCGGATGCATTTAGCAGTCCAGCAAAATGGCTGTTGTTTCTTCAATGTGTGTTTTGCAACTTTAAGTTGCAAAACAATCATGTGGGATTGGGTGTTGAATAACTTTGCTTTTAAGCTCGATGATCAAGAATAACCCGGTGGTTGATGGTTCTTTTTGTTGTCCAGAAAGATGTTTGATGAGACAGGTTACCGCTGTACAAGAGATGATGAAAAATAGATCCTCGGCTTGGGCGCGTGTATTGAACCAAAACACACGTTGACTAGGAGATCCGTTGAAGTTCAATGCTTTGCAGGTGTGACCAATCTTCATTTGTAGTTGAGACTTTGAGTTTCTATGTGAAAGACATCGAGAAAGTAGGGGTCTTTAACTGTTGATGTCGATGAGCTGAGCTGGTTTGCAACAACCGGACGAGTTGTCGCGTAATTCAGGTTGTATGGGCGGAAACTTTGCTGTAGGAATTTAGCGAGTAGGCAGTCATCTACTGCATCTCACGATTTACAGTTGTCGCTCCAGCATGAAATAAATCACGTAGACGTTAACAGAGGGCAATGTAAATTCGATTTTGACGAATTTAACGGAACGGAGCAGGCCTCCGATCTCTTGAACCAAAGCACAAAGAACCTTGTAGATAGTTGGATAGAGAAACTAGAGGATATGACAACAAACAAACAGCAATTGCGTTCATGTTTTCCCTTCTAATCGAGTCAAACTCACCGACGAAACGTTGGTTGTGATCATTCTTCTCTGTCGTCTCCTTGAGCAACTCCAATACCTGTCTACATTATACAACATGCACTTTACACAAATGTCCTTTAATTACGCCTTACTATGATGATGACGACATATAACCAAATCACAATATGATTTTGAGCTATGAAATTGATTTCCATATTTTGTGCTAAACATACACTTGTGATGGTCACTTCTGATAGTTTAACTCTCACTGTTTTGATTTTATAGTAAATTATTTCGTTCAAGCTGTAGGAAATCGAAGGTCTTATTCAATGTCACTCCGACGAATTTAACGGAACGGAGCAGGCCTCCGATCTCTTGAACCAAAGCACAAAGAACCTTGTAGATAGTTGGATAGAGAAACTAGAGGATATGACAACAAACAAACAGCAATTGCGTTCATGTTTTCCCTTCTAATCGAGTCAAACTCACCGACGAAACGTTGGTTGTGATCATTCTTCTCTGTCGTCTCCTTGAGCAACTCCAATACCTGTCTACATTATACAGCATGCACTTTACACAAATGTCCTTTAATTACGCCTTACTATGATGATGACGACATATAACCAAATCACAATATGATTTTGAGCTATGAAATTGATTTCCATATTTTGTGCTAAACATACACTTGTGATGGTCACTTCTGATAGTTTAACTCTCACTGTTTTGATTTTATAGTAAATTATTTCGTTCAAGCTGTAGGAAATCGAAGGTCTTATTCAATGTCACTCCAGGACGCGCGTTTTTCGATCGACCGCGTTTATTCTGTGCCAGTCGTAATGGAATTTTGTCTACAATCAGTCATGTTTCCGCGTAACTGCTAAGTAAACATTTAGTGTGAGTGTAATACCTCAATCCATCCATTCATTATAGCATTGGAGTGGGGCCAAAAGTAGTCATATGTTTCGCGATTACAGTCTATCCGAGTACAGTAGCTTATATAGATCGATCGGCGTGACTGATTGCCTGGTAAAACAAAAGTTCACAGTTCAAAACAAGCTTGTTATTTGCGTTCAAACAACTCCTTGCATTTATAACCAATAAGGGAACTAGCTTGGAAAGCCAACCACGCATTGGACGATATAACAACCAATGAAGGTTTACCAGATTTTGGTTGTACGCGTGGATTATTCTTTTACACAAATTCTACAGATAGGATGGGTTGCTGTGAAGCAGAAGAAGAACGAAGAACGCTTTCGGCCAAAGACTAGTCAGAGTATCTGGAACGTTACTTGCAATCCGTGATATTTCATGTTATCTGCTCATCTGAGGGGGCACATGGTAGAATAGTTTTTTACGGGCGATGCCGGATGGGTAGAATCCAGAGGTTGAGGAATTATCGATGTCACTGAGTGACCTGAAATGTTCGGGGTAGAACAAGTTGAGCCATGTTACTACTTTTGCTGATTTCCTCGTAATTTATCAGCAATAGCTTGAGCAATGGCGAGCACTATTCCCCATACCGTCGTCAGACTTTTATGGTATTTGCAATAGATAAAGATATGTACGCTATTTCCGCCTGTTGTCGCAAGACTTCCAATGATGTGACTGACGTTCTGCTGTGGGACGCAGACTCATAGAGAGTGCACAACTAGTTCGAAGTTTACTTATTAATGTAGCGCTTTACAAAAGCCTATCGCGGTGTTGTATCGATCATCACCTAGATATACGGACAGCCTACAAACGTTCGCCATTCTGGCTTCCTTGTGATATTGATGTGGAAGGGATTGGTGTGATACTAGTTGTAGCTGTCTTTTGGCTAGCATTTGACTCGCGGTCACGAGATATAACTTTTGCCTATCGAATATGGCAAAAGAACATTGGCGTTTGAACATTCATGTCCTGACAGCGTTGTACACGTTTGATGATGCAACTGAATATGCAATGAAGGGATGGCATCGAACTATCGAAGATGCTTGGGGCTGCGTTTTGCCGTGGACAGATTTTGCCACCGTTTACTGGTTTTTATTTAGTCTCCGACTAGAAGCACTACTCAAAACCCTCTACTGGATCACAATTAATTGACTTTGGTTGAAAATCCCATGTGACATGATCAGGTAAGATGAACAGCGGTCATTTTGGCGTCTACCTCTGGCATTACCTATTCCATTCTGTCAAACACTGTATTGTGTCGATTACTGTTTTTCTTTCTAGGCGTCTTGTTGATTTTATTGTTCGAGATGAAGCACAACCATAGTACTCCAGGGAAGGCAGTCCATTGTTTGGAACCACTCAATCTCATCTTTATTCCCTGC